AGATTTCTAGTCTGGAAATAAATCACGTGCAGCCACGTTTCAGCCGAAATGTGACGCAATCCACTCAAGACAATGCATGCAATTTCACCTCCGTCTTAAATGGATACAAAAGTAAACCCTGGAAGGAGCCATGACTTCACCCAGTTTGAGCAGTGAATGCGTGGTGGAAAACATCTACTTTCACGTTCCAATACGTTCATTTTGAAAAACAACAAGTGTACAAACGCAGCATTAATCTTGAAAGTCCTGTTCCTGACGTAAGGAGCAGAGCTCGGTTTCAGTCAATCAAAAGGCATTAAGTGATTTTAGCAACAAGGTCTGCAGAGCTTTGTTGAACACAAGTTTCGACTTGCTACAGGATGATATTAGTCTGGGAATCATCTTGACTGGGAAAAAACCCACTGCACCGAATGCATGGCAATCATCCTAGCCAAAAAATGCAGGATACAAAGATAACAGTCACTCGTCAGAGGTAATCCATCACATTAAGTGTCCTTCAGTAAAATATTTTGGGAAGCAGTTGGCAGACCACCATATCATTAGAGGACAGAAAAAGACAACATTTCCTACAAGACCTAAAAATATAATAAGCTGATTGGTCTGTCGTGTCTATGATGAGCTCAGATTAAACTGATTGGAGTAATACATTCTTCCACTTGCCAGCTTCTGTAATCACAGTGCCATTAAGGGCCTACCAGAGCTGAAACCATGACCACGGAAAACAGGGAGTGGAAGCTGACTATAAACACACACACTTTAATAATACTCCCAATTTGTCTTGGGTGGTTTTGATGAATTTATCACAGGGATGTCGAGCTGCTGTCGTTAAGGCTACACATCAGGTTTGATATTAAGTTCTCAGGTTATAAGCAATGAAATTGTTTGACATTCAACAGCAGTGAATGACTGCTGAATGACCCATTTCATTGCTACTCAAATCTAAACCTGACTGCAGTCACTCTCAGATTAGTGAATCTTTGTGAATAATTGCAGACTAATTTATAAACACAGATTGCAGTCATGTTGCAATCAATCTGAGTGAGTCTGTAATGCACGACTACATCAATTTATGAATTTCTGTTTCATATCTAGGGAATTCTGTCTGGACGACAAAGAAAACAGATTTGGGATTCGTGCAAGTTTATTACAGTTAATGGCCGTAGAGCCACAAACAAATTGCATGCAGATGCCAACTTGACCCTGTTCAATCGCAAACTGATAGCAGGCCGATTTTGCCTTTTTGCCATTTTCTGTCGCTTTGCAT